CGAGAAACTTGCATGTGGCATGTTGATTTATCGTCTACCGTTTCCGGGTCACGGGAGCATGCAAAGTCAAACGGATTAACTAATACGCGAATTATATCGTCAAAGTCACATTTTTATTTCATGTTAGTGGCGATTACTGATACTGTGTATCGACTTATGTTTTTGCTGTATGTGATAGGCGAACTATTTCAAAATTTACTGTAATTGTTTTGTTTCGAAAGCTTATCAGCAGACTACCCCTGTCTGTGACATCACATCCGGTGACCTATGCACTTATTGAAATAGTGCTGTCAGAATTCACGATCTTTATTTTCATTTTTCTCTCGTCATATTTATTGGAATATGACGAATAAAACATTCTTCGATTGAGAAGATCGTCAACTTTCGCCAAGTTATATTTTTTAAGGCAATGTAAACTTTGTTGATGTTAAAATAGCAGTAAGATATGCGGAGGTCGAGCGAAGCGCGCCATGTTTGATTTTAGGACGTCTGCTAGCATCATGACACGGGTTGTTTATTTTTGTATATCGTAAATATTCAACCAAAACGCTTGAAATTAGGATTAGTGAATATTTATAAGTCATTAATTGTTTCCTGCAAATTTTATAACATGACACGTCAGATTAACCCGAATATTCGTATTTCTGCAACCGACATGATGACCTCGAAAATTAAGTTATTTTTATGTTTAACGTTTAGATAATAAATTCACTGAAATGGTTCCTAATTTACCATCGCGCTGTTATTTGCTGATAAAAAAACCCCGAATTTTTACTCAATTAAAATTAAGATATCGGAGATATGATTATTGAAAATCAATTTGCACAAATGTTACGATATTAAAAGGTTCCTAGCATGAAATGCAAACCACCTTCAATAACGCAATTCAGGTAAGTTCAAGAAAATTTACAAATTTTGTGTTCGCTTTGGTCTTAACATTGGTATGATTGAAAACATCAGGATATTTTTATATAGTACTGTGTAGTTTTCTATCAGGAATAAATGTGCAAAATATTTCTTCAATTGGCCCTTGTTTAATGAGGCACCGACTGTTTGAAATCACCCACCCTCTTTAGAGCGCCTTATGCTAAAATGAATCCAGCAGGCAGGGGTAAGAAGTGTGAAAATAATTCAGCAGGCTAAAGGTTAAATGGCTCAAGAAACACCAACGTCAACGTTTCAGTATTATTCATATTGGAGCATCACCCGTTGCAACCCTTGAGGGGGTACAAATTATTAAAAGTGACAGCATTTCTCTTACTAAGATATTCTTGACGTATAATATACATTTGATAAGGTTGATGTATACTCTCAAAACATTTAAGCAAGATCAATTAAAGACTATTATATGAACGTAATATACACTATGAGTTTATATCCGGCGCTCGATGAGGCATTTGAAAACATGGATACTGTTGATGGATTTGGATTACATCAAATAAGCGACATAAAACATCGATTAGAAAAGGAGAGGGAGTTTAGACTTGGATTGTATAAAAAGTATCGCAGAGCCGTGAATGCTCTGGACGGAGTTGACACCGCGCTTGTAGCAGCTGGCATGGGACTCAGTGTAGCCGGTGTTGGTTTATTATCAACTATAACCGCCACGCCTATCGTGCTCGGCATGGAAATAGCCGCAGGAGTCTCAGGACTGGCAGGAATAGCGATATAATTCATTTCTCGTAAGTTGCAAAAGAAAGCATTAAAACACACTAACATTCGGATACTCGCCGAAGCAAAGTTGAACAGCATTGAGGATCATATTTCGACAGCAATGGCTGATTGTAAGATATCTGAGGAGTTCCGTTTAGTGTTGTCGGAACTCACCAAATACAACGTAATGAAGCAGGAGATTCGATCAAAATCTCGTAAGACCAGTGGTATTAGCGAAGACGAGAAAAAAAAGTTCATAGAACAGGGGAGGCAACAAGCGTGTCAATTATTCCGTGCCAAAACCAAAGAACTGGTTGGAGATTAAAAATAGATTGCTTACTATCATTAGATCGCATCGCATAAAATCATACATTCATTTAAACGAATGCTTACGTAAGTATATAATAATGGAGAATTACAAACCAACAAAGGAAGAACTCGAAAAAGCTATTGAAACATTTATGCTCAGGGACAAAATTATCAAATGGAGAGAATTACCACAAGGTATATATTATATTTGTGATGTCAAACCAACCAAATACGGTCATCAATTGTTTCTTTCCAATTACCAAGAAGAGTATATAGTCTGGTCTCCTAGTAAAATGAACGAAGAACTTAGTAGAAATGTTGAATATCATTTGTTAAAAATAATGGTATACGTATTAGTAAAAATAATAGAGAATATTTTCATTACAATTTAGTCTAGTCTCATGACTATCGTTGAATCGCATAGTCATTTACGCATAAAAAATGCCATCTGTAGTAGCAGTATAGGTATATAAATCTGTCTCCAGTGGGGTTGCGGCAGAATCATCATTTCCTATAAAAATTTATATCATAGAAGCATTGATTGACTCCAGGTGGTGGTGAGCTAGAGTCAATTTAGCTTAATCTCATGACGATCGTTGAATCGCATCATCATTTTTCCATAAAAAATTCCCCCTGTAGTGGTGGTATAGGTATATAAATCTGGCTCCAGTGGAGTTGCGGCAGAACCCCCATTACCTATACTACTCAATTAGTAGCAAAGATATATTACAAGCAGATCTTTTCTATCATAAATGTTTGCTTCATCTATCACACAAGAGTCTCTGGGAAATCAGTGCCCCAGCAGTAAACACTTCTGGTTGACTAGTGTTGAAAGAGTTAATGGGTTATGATCAAGGTTGACCTGGGCACTCACGTTGAAGAGCCCTTTACGTAGCTGAGCAGGACACACAGCCCCATTCTTCCCAATATTCTCACAAACAGCAGTTCCCAGCTGACTCTCAAGTTTCATTACCCGATCATGGCTTACACTGAGGCCCAACTCATACAGCTGTGTAATCAACTTCTTAACAACTCCGGTTCGGGCGCAATAATATTTATTCAACTAAACTACACAAAATGACAGCATTGTCTAATCACAGTTGGATGCTGATACCAACTAGTTTAACAGTTGGTTGCTGATGCAAGGCAAACGATATCTTGGCAAACTTTGCAGCATGCAATGTCATAGATAAGCATGAGAAACTCCAAACCCAAAATTTTGTAGTTGTAAGGAAAACAAGTTAACATGTTATAGATTATGGATGGTATAGGAAACGTTGCAAAAGATCATATTGTCCCTCGGCTGGCATTTTGAGATTAGCAAACACAGAGTCTGATTGCCAATCACCAAGGACCTTGATAGTCTCAATTGGTACTCCACGCTGAAGCAACCACGTCGCACCCCCTCGGCGGAGGCTATGTGCACTATAATCGGCCACAGAGAATCCTTGTGTGGTTAAGGCATGTTGCAGACGTGAGAGGAAACTGTTCGCTGAAAACGTAGTCAGTTGTCCCTCTGCAGACACAGTGAATATGGAGCTGTGGGGGGCACTGATCCGGCAACCCTAAAAAAACGTACAAGAGCCGTGGTTGGACACAGGGGATGCCCTGGATACAGGGGAAGCATCACATAATGGCATCTGTTGTGGAACTGTATGGTTTTTGAGGATTGCACACACAAAACCGCCCCTTTTTTAGTGAATTTCACATCCGATCGGCACACTGACTTGGCATACTTTGCAGACACAGAGCAGTAACATAGCTGATTCCCAATAGTCCAAAGAAGCATACAAGCAAAGCCGCAAGAAAACGCACATCATCTGGCTTGGTTTGGGAAACTGTCAGTTGAACTTGCAGTAGCATGTTTGGAGTGAAAGGCAATTTGTAGTTTGGGGCCGAACCGTTGGTCCTCTTGATGCCCTTTAACAATGAAGTTAAGAGAAAATTAGCTGTCAAGGGGTTAGTGAACGCAAACATCTGATGCAGTATGCGAATTATGTTAAAGAACTGGGGAATCAAACTATAAGCATGGGTGCGTCCTAAATATGGAGCATAGTGACATATCATCTGAGGTGTCGCTGGTACTGGAACGCATCCTGTAAGAACACAGAAATTCAGGTACGTCCTTCCATGACAACGGTAAGTCAATCTTGTGGTAGGAGCAAAACATTGCTGGAGCCACTTAGTAATTTCTTTGTCCAGGTTGCCTGTGAGATCATCCATTCTCGAACCTGTAATGATATGGAAAGCAAGGTTTTAGGAGACGTGGTAGGGCAACCAGTAACCAGGTGGCGGGTTCCGTGGTACCGTACTCACCATAGCACGAAGGAAACGTGCCACCGCCACCTTGATGGAGTGGCTGCCATGAAAAATTGAAACCTATGGTAATGGAGAGCGCGTGGAAAAAAATTGGTGCTTTTAACCGGCATGTCCCCACCATCTTGTTAATCTTGACTAATCTTCTGGATTTTTTTTGTCTTGGCTATAATTTCATTTTGACCTTGATTTTACCTTTGGTTTTGGGCTATGCTCTTAATATATCTTGGGGTGGGGGTAGCCTGGTGTTTAAAGCGTCTGCTTGTCATGCCAAAGGACCGGGCTTGATTCCCCACATGGGTACAAGTGAAGCGCATTTCTGGTGTCCCTGGCTGTGATGTTGCTGGAATATTGCTAGAGGCAGTGTAAAACCATACTCACTTGTTCGCTCCTAAAATGTATCATTATACATATTTTTCTCTGTAAATATCTCCTCTGAAATTGCCAGACTGACAGAGCTAAACTCTTGCTTTTTTGTTTCTCCTGACAATGCCATCTTATTTTGTTAAAATCATTAGATCTTAGTGTCAATTTTTTGTCCTCAGTATTTCTGCAGAAAATATTTGAGAATCAATGCTGACAGCAATTTTTGTATCTGTCTTTGTTGACATCTGTTGACTACCCAGGTGAGCTACAGTGTCATGGCACTATTTTGCCATGTGATTAACAAACCTTACAAGTTTTATTCATGTCTCATTTGATTTTCACCTGTTTTTCTACAGTCTATATGGTCATCATCGGGTCCATCGCCACTTGAGCGGCTTCTTGAACAACAGAAACAGCAGCGACAGGGTGATCCTCATTAGGACTTTGTGAAGACAACTCTTCTTGTTGCTACTACTACTGAGTTCATAGATGACATTATTCACCAGTTGGAAGTACATCAAAGAAAAAAAGATTACCCTTTCTTCCTGGCAACATTCATGCAAAGAGCCTAGATTTGAATTTTTTTTTCAAGAACAAGGTTTCCAGTAACTTGTCCACTGTCCATTTTATGTTTAGTGTCAACATCACTATCACTATGGGTTAGAGATTTTAAACTTGCAGTACAAAGTTTGGAAATACAACTTGTGACATTTTAGCAAAACAGTCATACTACAGTGTAGGCATGTTTGTTTAGTCACAGGGAATTCTTTCAGGTTTTGTCAGAATTTGACCGCTACCACACTTTGTTCTTGAAATTCCAATGACATCATCTTAAATATATCATTTATGTTCCAATGAAATGTTTTGAGACCTTGATTTGTCATATCCAGGGTAAAGGTCAACTTGGAGGGCATGGCCCGAAAAGTATTACTGTAGGTCAATGAAACTTAGTACTTGCCACTACTTGGCAGACCAGTAAAGATCCGGGGTAGTACAGGTCTTCAGCAACCCATTCATGCCGTAAAAGGCGACTATGCGTGTCGTAAGAGGCAACTAATTGGATCGGGTGGTCAGGCTCGCTGACTTGGTTGATTCATGTCATCGTATCCCAATTGCATGGATTGATGCTCATGATGTCAATCACTGGATTGTCTGGTCTAGACTCGATTATTTTCAGACCGCAGTCATATAGCTGGAATATTGCTGAGTGCAACAAAGAAACGCCACAAAACTTGGCATTCTTAGGGCAGTGCTGTGATCTGCAAAGGCAGTGAATGATCAACATATCAGGTCAAGGTCATAGTGAAGACGATTAACAAAGTGTATTTGCCATACATACTTCAAAATGGAATGAAATTTCGAACAAGTGTAGTTAGCAGTGCAGCAGTTACTTTGATTTGAACATACTGCAAGCTGAAACTATTAGGGACATTACTCAGACATTTTTGTTTAAAATGTAATGCAGTTTTTATATGTGTAGATTGTAGTGTGGTCAACACATGGGTTCGCAATATTTTAAATTTGGACCTTTTTTTTACCTGTGTACTTTGACCAAAGATGTTGCAAAATACATTTCCTTTTAATGTAAACATAATCCACTTAGAAACTACAGGACCACTGAAGCTGAAACTTCCCAATGATGACATCTGAATTTTTTCAAGAGGTTTGAATCTGATTTTCAATATGTCCGCCTTGGCAGCCATGATGATTTTTTTTGTTTCAGTAGTAAGTCCCGGTGACATAACATATATATAAATCAGACTGAAATGAAAGACAAGCTGTAATGAAATTTATCCAAATATATCATTTCAGACAATGTTAGAGTACTCTCAGAAATAATATGCATATATATATCAGAGCAAACAAAATACTACCCTAAACTTATATATCAAATTGTATGAGTATGTATAGTCTGTCTCACAGTCCCAGAACCATACTATTTTCCCTTCCGCCCAGCCCTTTCTGTAATGCAAAAAGCTTTAAATGAAGCAAGTCTAGATGTTCCTCAGGTTCAGAATCTCCCATCTCACTGGGACTCAGTTAAAATAAAGTTATTTGTTTCTGTCAAAATTATACATTTTCAGAGACAAAGCCTTAGTCTAGAGAATGTATTAAACTGATACATATGGCAATGCATAGAAACTACTTGAAAGATGCATGCACAATTTGAATGTTATAAACAAATCATTCAAGATACCAAACTGTTTATCAACTGCATGTCATTTTCAGTTTAATAGTAATAGACATGTAAGTGAAAGGGAAACCGATAAGGCCTTTTTGTACCACAGGATCTGCATAATTTAAGAAATAAGCAGAATGTTTTGACACAGAGATGAATGTTGTCAAATGTGTCCATATGTTTGAGATTAAATTTAGTTCATTTCAACACGTGTATGTTCTTTTTATCATGTTAATGCTAAGTGTATGGACTAGTCTAAAACCTGTTAAAAGGCTGAATTAAGAAGGCTACCGGAAAAGAAACATTTTCTAATAATTGATCATGAGCAAGCCTTTGACCCAGCTGAAGATGTTGGTAAAGATCCTGGATCACAGACTTGCACAAAGTCAGACTGAAGTTGGAAAATAGCCTATTTCCATAATTTTAGTCGGAGTTATTTATTTGAGCATGTAGGCAATAGTTCTGCATTACAGTATGTAGGCCATAGTTATGTATTTCAGCATGTAGGCAATAGTTATGTATTACAGCATGTAGGCAATAGTTATATATTTCTGCAGGTAGGCAATAGTTCTGTATTTCAGCATGTAGGCAATAGTTATGTATTACAGCAGGTAGGCAATAGTTCTGTATTACAGCAAGTAGGCAATAGTTCTGTATTTCAGCATGTAGGCAATAATTCTGTATTACAGCATGTAGGCAATAGTTCTGTATTACAGCAAGTAGGCAATAGTTCTGTATTTCAGCAGGTTGGCAATAGTTCCGTATTTCAGCAGGTTGGCAATAGTTATGTATTACAGCATGTAAGCAATAGTTATGTATTACAGCATGTAGGCAATAGTTATGTATTATAGCATGTAGGCAATAGTTCTGTATTTCAGACGGTAGGCAATAGTTCTGTATTACAGTATGTAAGCAATAGTTCTGTATTACAGCATGTAGGAAATAGTTCTGTATTTCAGCATGTAGGCAATAATTCTGTATTACAGCATGTAGGCAATAGTTCTGTATTACAGCAAGTAGGCAATAGTTCTGTATTTCAGCAGGTTGGCAATAGTTCCGTATTTCAGCAGGTTGGCAATAGTTATGTATTACAGCATGTAAGCAAAAGTTATGTATTACAGCATGTAGGCAATAGTTATGTATTACAGCATGTAGGCAATAGTTCTGTATTACAGCACATAGGCAATAGTTCTGTATTTCAGCAGGTTGGCAATAGTTCTGTATTTCAGACGGTAGGCAATAGTTCTGTATTACAGTATGTAAGCAATAGTTCTGTATTACAGCATGTAGGCAATAGATCTGTATTTCAGCATGTAGGCAATAGTTCTGTATTTCAGCAGGATGGCAATAGTTCTGTATTTCAGCAGGTTGACAATAGTTCTGTATTTCAGCATGTAGGCAATAGTTATGTATTACAGCATTTAAGCAATAGTTATGTATTACAGCATGTGGGCAATAGTTCTGTATTACAGCACGTAGGCAATAGTTCTGTATTTCAGCGGGTTGGCAATAGTTCTGTATTTCAGCAGGTTGGCAATAGTTCTGTATTACAGCATGTAGGCAAAAGTTATGTATTTCAGCATGTAGGCAATAGTTCTGTATTTCAGCATGTAGGCAATAGTTCTGTATTTCAGCAGGTTGGCAATTGTTCTGTATTTCAGCAGGTTGGCAATAGTTCTGTATTACAGCATGTAGGCAATAGTTATGTATTACAGCATGTAAGCAATAGTTATGTATTACAGCATGTAGGCAATAGTTTTGTATTTCAGCACGTAGGCAATAGTTCCGTATTTCAGCAGGTTGCCAATAGTTCTGTATTACAGCATGTAAGCAATAGTTCTGTATTTCAGCATGTAGGCAATAGTTCTGTATTTCAGCAGGTTGGCAATAGTTCTGTATTTCAGCAGGTTGGCAATAGTTCTGTATTACAGCATGTAGGCAATAGTTATGTATTACAGCATATAAGCAATAGTTATGTATTACAGCATGTAGGCAATAGTTCTGTATTTCAGCACGTAGGCAATAGTTCTGTATTTCAGCAGGTTGACAATAGTTCTGTATTACAGCATGTAAGCAATACTGTATTACAGCATGTAGGCAATAGTTATGTATTACAGCATGTAGGTAATAGTTCTGTATTACAGCATGTAGGCAATAGTTATGTATTACAGCATGTAGGCAATAGTTATGTATTACAGCATGTAGGCAATAGTTCTGTATTACAGCATGTAGGCAATAGTTATGTATTACAGCATGTAGGCAATAGTTCTGTATTTCAGCAGGTAGGCAATAGTTCTGTATTACAGCATGTATGCAATAGTTATGTATTTCAGCATGTAGGCAATAGTTCTGTATTTCAACAGGAAGGCCATAGTTGTTTATTTCAGCATGAAGGCAATAGTTCTGCATTACAGTATGTAGGCCATAGTTCTGTATTTCAGCAGGTAGGCAATAGTTCTGTATTTCAGCAGGTAGGCCATAGTTATTTATTTCAACAGGTAGGCAATAGTTCTGTATTTCAGCAGGTAGGCAATAGTTCTGTATTTCAGCAGGTAGGCAATAGTTCTGTATTTCAGTATGTAGGCCATAGCTATGTATTTCAGAATGTAGGCAATAGTTCTGTCTGAGCTCATAGTCCATTGTTATGTAGTTGAGGATGTAGGCCATAGTTTTGTAGTTGAGCTTGTCAGAAGTAAAAAACAAGCATGTTTGAAAGCCATGTGAGCTAATGTTGTGGCCTGTTTGTCCTTCATCAGTCGTAAGCATCTTCACCTCAGAAACAAGTGGACCACTGAAACTCAAACCTCGCATGCTGCCATGATAGCCATATTGAAAAACCTCTTTATGGCCATTTCTCAGTCATTGTTTAAAAAGCTATGAAATTTAGTTAGTAGTGGTGCTCAACATATTGTAATAGGTGGGCCTTGCCTGAGGTAGCCCAGTGACAGCAGAGTTCACTGGCTCTGCAGAGTGTCTAGATCGAATTCCACTGCTGTCCATGGCCCTTTGTGTTGTGTTTTATATGATGGTAAATTTGTGGTTTAACCATGAGTCAGCTACTTGGGGAAACTCCTGGTTCATGCATTAGGCAGGTGAATAAGGAAAAAAGGCTTGCTGAAAATGTAATGAATTTTTAATGTAACAAAAGTAAAATATTTAACAGAATATAAAATTAAGAAATACAACAATCACACGGAAGAAAGCTGTATAGTATTTACTACCTATATATTTCTACCTACCCTAAGCCTACTTATTCCTAACCTCACTTCTCCCCCAAGGAAACCCCTACACAAACTATATGAATAAATCTACCTACATATTTAGAATTCTACTTACATCCTGGGGCGGTCAGGTAGCCTCGTGGTTAAAGTGTTCGCTCGTCACGCCGAGGACCCAGGTTCGATTCCAGACATGGGTACAATGTGTGAAGCCGTGATATTGCTGGAATATTGCTAAAAGCGGCGTAAAACCATTCTCACTCACTCACTCACTCACTCACTCTGTCACTCACTACTTACATCCTAATTTCTCCCCCACCCAGCTACACAAAAACCTATTCTACAACTAACTATAGAGGCATCTTGTTAAACAAGAGTCTGTATCAAAATATCCGCGACCTTGAGAGGATTTACACGTTGGGAATCCCGAGCTCATAAGACACTGAATGCTGCAATACCAGGTCCTTATATACCACTAGGCCTTGACCGGATCAGCAGAAACTCCTGTCATACAGAGGGGGGCACGGGAGGCCCAGTCGTCTAAGGCACCGCGATTCGCTGTGCAGAGTTTCGTCCCCTGGACACGCCAGGAACCTATGATTGTGGGTTCGAATCCCAGTTCACCCCGATTATGTTTCTAGGTTTGTCAGCACCATACACGTGCTCGTGGGTTTTATCGAAGTGGTAAATGTCTAAGACCTGCATCACTTCAGGCTTTCCTCCCACATTAAGCTGACACGCCGTGATATAACTGGAATAATGTTAAAAGCGGTGTTAAACCTAACTCACTCACTCATGCCTGTCATACAGCCATATCCTTTGGGCAGCCATGCTGTTCGCGTCCAATTAGGTTATTCCTACCATATTGTGCTTGGCGTATCATAGCTCGTGGCGGAACATACAACTAGCGTCTCGAGCACTAAAGTAGGAAAACACACACACACACACACACACACACACACACACACACACACACTCACCCCAAACAACCTGTCATCGATCCCAATTGCGTGGATCGATGCTCATGCTGTCAATCCCTGCATTGTCTGGTCCAGACTCGATTATTTACAGCTATTCATATAGCTGGAATATTGCTGAGTGCAGCGTTAAACAACAAACCAACCAACCAACCCAAACAACCGAAAGGAAAAGATTTACAGCCAAAACATGATTAATAAGAGAGATAATTGACTATAAGATACATACAACTTCCAGACATACTTATATCAAATTTATAACATGTTTCTTCTCGGTTCTAAAAATAGCCACCCGATGTCCCTTTTCCTATGTTATTACGCTAAATTATTTTATCTCCTACATTCCTCCCCCTTAAGATCAAAATTACCCCAAAATTTTGTCCCCCCCAAACTACCTAGTAACTTTCTTCGTACAAAACCAAATGTTCACACTCATACAAATTTATTATATCAAATTTAAATAAAGAAACAAACACAACTGAATTAATTTCCCGGAAGAATTTCACAATAAAATGTCACAAATTGTCTCTCTTTTTTTGCAGTCTAAACTGAAGTTTGCCAATGCTTCTATTTCTTCCCTTTGTTGTTCTTCCCGAGAAAGTCTTCGGCTGATGGAATGATGGCGGACAGTAGCATCTTTCAGCTGCTGACGATGACGGGAAAGCGGCATCGTTGACGAAGAAGCTACCATCAGGGTCCCGGATTCTACGGTCGGGCGGTTCGGCTGAACATGTGTTCCTGGTGGCAGGTAGTGCCGGTTGGGCCGGTACATGATAACAACCTGGGCTGGTGGAACATGTGAACAAACATGTTTCCCGGCATTCGGTGGCCTGATGAAGTGCTTCCCACAGGCAGAGCACTGGTACAAGGTGGAGGTAGCCCCATGCATGCAATCCAATGATCCAGATAACTACCATACCGGTGATACCACCTCTCAGAACATAGGGGTATAGAGCATCTCATTCCCTCTGGCGACCAAGAGGGACAATCAAGATCTTGTATATCCTTTCGA